AATTTTCTTTTAGAAAAGATTTTTTGACGACGATGTTACGCATATTATGTTCGACATCTGACTCGACTTCTTTGATTCTCTGAATCTACATACCACCGCACACGGAAGGTTCATCAACATTCCACGCGTATTGCGTTGACATTACCGCTAAAAGCTGTTTTCCGTATTCGACGGCCGACGAATTACAATTACCCGCCACTCATTCAGGAATTCCCACACGAGCAACGCGTTCGAATATCATATATCGTCAAAACTCGACTCGATATTTATTTCGTAACGCGGGATGTCAAACGGTTCCAGCCAACGCGATACGTTAAATTTCCCCGCATTTATCCCACTTTAAACTTTCTTTCCAGTGATCCAGTTTCCGTTTATCCCATTAACAACCACCGACGCTCGAAAACTAGCGGCCGCCTGTACTCGCTCGGGGGCAGTGGAGGGGGTCGATCGATAAAACCTCGTCGACTCCTTTCGTGCCCAGGCGCTAAGGCTGTCTCTCATTCAATCAACATACTTCGTCGAATCGGTTAATTCGCTCTTCTCGAAACGTAATAAATAGAATTATTCGAGTGGAAATAAAATTACGCGGACTATGATACGTGTCTATCCTCGAGAGAAACAACATATTCAAAATCAAATTCCTCGGATTATTCCATCGATCGTTACTTTCGCTTTCGAAGGTAAAAAGGACAATCGGTCGAAGAGCTCGATACGAGTAATTAGAGACGAGTCGCGGAAAGGAAGGAGCAAAGGTGTGGTTGTTAAAGAGCGTCAACCGGCAGTTTATACGATGGCCGTACAAGGAGGTTGAGTCATGCGACAAACGTAGGAGGATGGACCTAACCCAACGTAACGCCCTGCTCGCTTTCTTCCTAGAATCGAACGCATTAATAATTCGATATCTCGAAACGTATAACAGCGTACATATACATTTTGAAAAACTGAAAATGCGATTGCTCATCCAGAAGAAGAATTTTTCTATTTCAAAATATTGATCAAAAAAAATATATATATTTGGAAAAAAGGAAAGAGTATTGGAAAATAGAAAAGATTTCGATTGGAGAGCGTGAAGAATAATCGAAGGGGAGAATTTGCATTCGTCTGGGAGAAAAATTTGTTGTTGGGAAAAATCGGACGTCTTTTCCACCGAGAGGCAGACTTCCTGTTGGGAACGACAGATGTCGAGATAGGGGAGAGGTTGGCGATCGTTCGACCAGAAAGAGAAGTCGAAGAGGAAGGAAGCGGAAGAGGAAACCTCGGTCGAAACAAAGCGGTCATTACTCTCGTCCCACAGCTGACGAGACAACTTATAAAATCTCGCGGATTACTAATTCCTCTCTCTCTCTTTTTCTATTACATTGGAGCATATTCTCGCCAATTATTTTAATTATATATTATTTTCAATTCGTCGCGTTTAGGAAATTTTCGCAGGAAATGGATCGTGAAATAAATGATGGAAGATGAAATACAAAATTTTCAAAAGTACGTTATTCCTGATTTGGAATATTCGAGTTTTAAACTGACAAATCAACAGATTTTTATTCGTTTGATATCTCACTTATTTTTATTACGATTTTTCTAAAAGTTCGTCATAAATTCGCCTCTTCATAAATTATTTCATTTTGTCATCGTTAAATTTATTCGCGCTTGTAACTCCACGACTGTTTTTAAAACTTTATCTTTCTTCTTTTTTTTTCCTTTTTTTAATTCGATCGCATCGTGAACTATGCTGCGAACCATGTCAGACGAAGAAAAAAAATTACAGCGAATCTCGTTACACCTCGTTAAAAAAAAAAAAGGAAGCCAAATATTATCGCGTCACAAATGATTTATCGCTCGTCCACTATAAATACTCGTTTATACGAAGTTTCTTCTCGTGTCCCCTCTTTAAAAAAACATCGTTTAAAACATCCAATAATTATCCCACCCGCCATTTTCTCTACGCGTTCTTTCGTCTACGTGAAAGATGCTTCTATCATCTCAAAGCAAATTTTACGTATACGAATACGAAAGAAAATTATTATTCATCCTTGCATTCTTTTTCTTTCTTTTTTCTACACGCATAAGATTAATCTCTGTGAAAATTCAATTTGTAATCTACATACCCTATATACACAAGACGAAATGGGCGAAAATGCAAATGAAAATTTTTCTTAGGAAGGCTCGTGTCCCCGATTTGGTCCAAGCGGAGCAATTAGTCGAGGCGGTACTCGATGGCTAATCGAGTTCGAGGCGAGCAAGTCGCAATTAAGCAAGAGTATACTCCGATGGTTAAGTTATACCCTGTGTAACCCAAGCACGTGGGATCGCGTTACCAGCATTGTCTCCTTGAGTTACCAAAGCGCCAACCGCGCTTCTATCCATCTTTTGCTCTTCTTGCCGGCAAAAAAAGAATCCATTCTCGAACTTTCGAAGAAAACAATCCTTCCCTTTTCCATCCCGAAATGGACGGACGAAACAAATTTTTGCTGGGGAAAGAACGAGATCCAGATCGTTTTAAATTCTTTTATCGCACGAAGTGGTAAGTTTGGATGGAAGAAATTTTCGAAATCTTGCCTTTTAATAAATTCGACCCGATTGGCGGAAGGAAACGGTTATTTTTTCTTTCCATTCTGTTATTTCCAATTGCGACAGATAACAATAAAACGACGATTTCCGGTGTCTGAATTCTCGCCACTTAGGGCATAAAATTCGGATATTTTTGTTCTTATTTCTTATTTTCTTCTACAATGTGCTAATTACGATTTCTAATGAAGCTTGATTTATAAATCGTAGGTGAAAATAATTAATAAGTTTTGAAAATATTTCAATTTTCTGAATATTCAAATTATGCGTACAGCTCTGCAATGTAGTGTACAGTTTCAAAGAAAGACTCCTCTGTACATCTTCCAATATTTTTCCTCGAATTTCTTTCTTAACACGTTGACTGATCCATATTATGAACGATCTTTGTAGGTATTTGGAAAGATATACTGCAGGGTGTAATGAAAAAAAATTATTTTTAATGTAAAATTTTAAAACATTCTATACAAAGCTGAAGTTAACTCGGACAAACAATTTGGAAGAAAAGTTATTTTTTAAATTCCTTCGTCTTTTATCCGGATAACATAATTTGCATGCAGTTTAATATTTATATTTAGAATTATTTTTCCAAACGGTGATATTACGTTGACTCCATCGAAGATTTTGACAAGGTTTCGTGTGTAAATCCATTTTTTTCT